CGTTTAAAAAGCCGCAAAATGACCTGTGAGCCTTGGCGACTTCACTGACCATGAATATTGTTTGCAAGAACCCAAAAAGACTCTTAAGTAATTAACAGAAAGATAGTCCTGTTTTACTAAAGGAGCACTGTTATAACACACTTAAACTTGCTGATCAAAACCTGTTAATTCTACAGTGAGTTTGGCATAGATATCATGCCACCCTCCCGCCCCAGCACACATCCCTCTGCACACACATCCACACCTTTAACACCTGCCCACCTTTGCTCATCAAAGCATTCCGTCTGTGCCCCCTTCCCTCTGGGCCTTCCAAGAAACAGGAAGACGTCTGGGCCAACCAGCACCCACGGCAGGTCCAGTGTCACGCTTACTCTCCCCAGGAGGCTCACGCTGTGGTGAGCCTCAACCCCAGAGCGAGGGCCACACAGGAAATGAAGGACTGGCCACGTACAGGCCACGTGTGGACATCTGTCCCGTGCAGGCTCCTGAGCAGAGCATCGTGGCGGCCCGTGCCTGAGCCCTTTGACGTTGACTCCTCATGGGTCCTCCCTCAGAATCGCAGGAAGCGGGGATTTCCCTGGAAGTCCAGTGGCTAAGCCTGCGCACTCCCAATGCAGGGGCCCAGGTTTGATCCTTTGTCAGGGCACTAGATCCCACAGGTCACAGCTAAGACCTGGTACAGCCAAAAAAAAAGAAAAATCAGAGAAAATGGGTAGACTCTGTAGACAGGGAAGACAGCAAGCAACGGTACGCTGGAGACACTGGACTGAAAGTACGTGACAGGCGTGCACACTCACACAGGGTTCTCTAGGGCACGGTCACACTCCACGGCGACCACCGTATTCCGCCTTCACGACACGTGACCCCGAGGCCCCGGAAGGGCACTCGCCTCACGGTGCATTTATTGGAGGGGTGTTTGCTTTCCCTCTTTTTACGTCCCTTGAAGATGTTTAATGTCGACCTTTTTAAAGAAAGGGCCCCGTGGCCGCGTTGCTGAGCCCCCACCGTCTTCCGGCCCGGTCGCTGACCCTCACCCCCGCCCCTGTCTGTCTCCGCCCGCCCCCAGGACTACGGCGGGTACCTGAGCACCTACATCCTCCCGGCCAAGGGCGACGGCCAGGCTCCAGTCTTCAGCTGCGGCTCCGCGCTCTCCCCCATCACGGATTTCAAGCTCTATGGTGAGGGTCCTGATGAACGGGCACACGGCCTCCCCACGCCCCACCCCAGGGCCCCCTCACCTGGTGCTGGGTCTGATACCCCTCGGGGAGGTGTGGGCAGCAGTGACGCCTGGCAGACAGAGCCTGGGTCGGGCGTGCGGGGCGTGGGGGTTTCTCAGCCACTTGTTCTGAAAGTGGTCGACCCACCCGTGTCCCTGAACCATCCTCCCTGACGTGAGACCAGGAGCTGAAACCCGACCAGCGGTTCCACCTGCAGCGGAAGGGGGATGGAAGGGGGCTCCCTGCAATCCACCCCCAGCACCAGCCTTGTTTGTGCCCCAGGATCAGTTGGCGGGGGCCCCGCACCACATGTCTCTCGGCCTGCACTGTCCAACCCCAGGTGTGGGGGCCGGCCCCTGCCCGCCTGGACCTGGCTCTCCGGTCACTCTCCGGGCCCGAGCCCCCCGGCGTCCCTGCCCTTTGGTCAGCCAGCCTCTTTTCCCCGAACACGAATGGTTCTATAACATCACCACTGCTTGAAGTGTGGGACAGGCCTTCTCTGCGGGCTCTGAGAGCCGGCACTCAGGTCAGGGACGCAGGGAGGCTCGGCCGCCAGCCCTAGCTGCCCGGCACTGAGCCAGGCCAGAGGGGCCCAGGGCATCTGCTCGCTGGTCTGCAGAGCTCTGCTGGATCCTGAGGCCCCTCTGGGGTGGAGGGACCAGCGTCGCTGCCACGGCTCACCCTCCCCCACCCCAGTTCAGCACCCCCAGACGGCCCAGGGACACAGCAGCAGGGGCTGGGGAGCCCGGAGGATCACGGCGGATGCTTTCATCTTTGGGGAGAGATTAATGCACATTTCGGGTGAAAACCGTACAGGAACTCGCCTAATTCCGGATTTTAATAACCTAGAATGATCGCCCCGTGGAATACATGCGACATACTCTGTGTTTTTAAAATTCAGCGAGGCTTTCCGGGGGCTTTACTCCAGCTATTTCACAGTCCGAGGGGCTGGGGCCAGGGCCGAGGCCGAGGGCTAATGCGCCCCTCTGCCTCCATGCAGCATCCGCGTTTTCCGAGAGGTACCTGGGCCTCCACGGACTTGACAACCGAGCGTACGAGGTAGGTCTGGGCGCGGCCGCCGCTTGGGACAGCAGCCTCCGCTTGGGACAGCAGCCTCTTCTCCCGCCCGGCCCCCTCTTAGCCCCTGCCGGCCCATGTCCCAGCACAGCTCCCTCTGAGAAAGCCCCGGGCCCCGCCCCTGAGAATGTGGGTGACCCAGTCCTCTTCCAGGTGCGTCTGGTTGTCCGTCTGGAGCCGGAGGGCAGAGGAGGAGGCGGGGAAGGCCTGGGTGGGGAGCCTGTCCTGGGGTCCGTAGGCTGGTGTATGCATGGCCTCTGCCCCCCAAGGCTGCTTCTGCTGCGGGAGGGGGAGAGCCCTGGATGGGAGGGGGTGGGCAGGGAGCTCCTCTGGGGCCCCGAAGGCCACTGAGGCTTCAGGGCTGAAAGCCGCAGATGGACATCGGTCCGGCCAGTGTGTCTACTCCTGCCAGGATGGCGGCCCCAGGCTTCCTATAGGGGGGAGGGGACCCTGTCTTCCTGCCCCCCCCCACCCCTCATCTCACGGCCGTCCCCTTCCTGAACGGGCTGAGGCCGCCAGGGCAGGCAGAGAGCGCCCGCTGCACCGCCCGGCCAGGCCCGCGCTGACGCCCCTCCCCGCGTGCAGATGGCCAAGGTGGCCCATCGCGTGTCCGCGCTGGAAGGGCAGCAGTTCCTGGTCATCCACGCGACCGCCGACGGTGAGCGCCTGACCCTGGGGGCCGCGGGGAGCGTTGCCCTCCGCGCTGCCACGGGCTCTGACGGACCCTGTCCTCTTTCTTTCAACAGAAAAAATCCATTTCCAGCACACGGCAGAACTTATCACACAGCTCATCAAGGGAAAGGCTAATTACAGCTTACAGGTACAGGGCTGGCCTGCGACACCCCCCGCCCCCTGACGGAGGAGAGCCACCGCGCCCGGCCCTCCCACCCCGCAGGGACACGCTGCAGGGCCCGGTCCTGGGAGGCGGTCGGGACACGTCGGGTAGGATGAGCAGGGCTTAAGGGGGCGACGGGGGAGGAGACGGTTGGATGGCATCGCTGACTCAGTGGGTGTTGGTCTGAGCAAACACCGAAGATAATGAAAGTCAGGGAAACCCCGCGTGCTGCAGTCCCTGGGGTTGCAGAGCCGGATGCGACCAAGCTCCTGAACAACAGCAACAAACGGCAGCTCGGCTCTGCTGGGGCTGCGCTCAAGCCCCTTTAGAACACCCCTCACCCCCGCCCCGCGCCCCCAGGAGGCGTCCCCAGAGGACAGAGTCCTGCCTAGTTCAAGTGTCATCTGGGCCCCGTTGAGAGAGCTCAGGTCACAGGACAAGGCCAAGTGCATCGTATGACGCGTCGCAGCCCCAGTAGGTCCAGCGGCAAAGCTCTGAGTGCCGGAGTGGACCACGCCCCAGATACAGCTGGGGCCCAGCCCAGGCCTCCTGGATACCGCTGCAGGCACAGAGCGGCTGAGACACTCAAGCCTGTAATGGTGACAAGGCCAGCTGAGGGCCCCGGGGCCCAGCACCCGGCAAGGGGGAGGCCTGCCTCCTGCTCTGTACCCCTCGGAGCTGGTTGAGGTTTAAGGCACAGGCACTAGCTCAAGGACCACCTTCCTAAATCCTGAGACCAAGGTGGGTGTCATCCTCCAAAGACGCAAGAGGGGGACAGGGTTCACGTGCAGGAGGCAGCCCGGTATCCTGGTAAGATCGCAGGCTTCGGGGCTGGTGAGGCCTGGCTTTGACTCTCTGCTGGGACCGGGCCCTTTGTGTGGAAGTGGAGCGGTGCCTGGGGTGCCCGGTGTCATCACAAGTGGGGACGGGAAGATCAGCCGCCATCTTTTCAGCCGCCCCACCCCCAACCCCGGTGGCCCAGGGCTTCCCTGCTGGCGCAGTGGTAAAGAATCCGCCTGCCATGCTGGAGACCTGGGGTCAATCCCCGGGTTGGGAAGGTTCTCTGGAGAAGGAAATGGCAACCCACTCCAGTACTCTTGTCTGGGGAATCCCATGGACGGAGCAGCCTGGTAGGCTATGGTCCATGGGGTCACAAAGCGTTGGACACGCCTGAGCACAGCGTTTTGTGTCCCAGGCCTTGTTCTGAGCCTTTCAGGGGAACTTCATGTCATTTCATCCTCACCAAGCTTAATGAGTTAGATTTGACGATGATGATCGTCTCCGTTGGACACCTCTGGACGCTGAGGTCCGGGAAAGGCCCTGCGCTCGGCACACAGCGAGCCGGGAGCTTCCTGCACTCACTGGGGTCGCAGAGACGCGGTTCCTCCCAGTTCTCTCGGAGTGCTGACCCCTGCAGGCTTGGCCGCTGCCTCTGTGGTCCCCGAGCCTGGATCTCTGTTGCGAATTCAAACAAGCAGAGCCAGATGCGCAGAGCCTACTAAACAGAGTGTTGTCCGATTTCTTCCCTGATGCTCCGAGGACGCCCTCTGCCGTCGGAGCTGAGTCTGGCCGCGAGGGCGGTGGGGGCGGGGCAGCGGCCGCGCGGCTGAGTCCTCTGCCCCCCTTGCAGATCTACCCGGACGAGAGCCACTACTTCAGCAGCAGCGCCCTCCAGCAGCACCTGTACCGCTCCATCCTCGGCTTCTTCGTGGAATGCTTCAGGATCCAGGACAAGTTCCCCGCAGTCACAGCAAGAGAGGAGGAAGAGGAGGACTGAGCCCCACGGCGCACCGCCCGGCCCCTCCTGGGACAGGGCACGCTGCCCCGGGCAGCCCGCGGCCTGCCCGCAGAGCCGGGGGGCCACTCATCGCATGTGTGTCTCAGGTCCGAAGGCATTTCTGCTCCAGAAACAAGCTCCTTGCCGGGCGGAGCTGCGTCGCCGCTCGCGAGGGGCTTCCTCGGAGCCCGGAACCACCGCCTCCTCCCCGCCGCAGCGTGACCGGGGCCTCCCCACGACCCTCCCCAAGGAACAAAGCGGAGCCTGGACGGCAGTGCAGAAGCTGGCCCTGGAACTGGAGCTGGCGAGCGGCAGCGTGGGACCCGGCCTCCCCCCGAGTCCCGCGCCCACTTGGGAGCATCACCCCCGTGTGACGTCACCGCGCCATGGACCAACCAGAGCACAATTATTTTCACAGTACCTGTCCCTAGATTGGCCCGCTCCTGTCTGTTATTAGGAGATTCTGCATTTTAAGGGGCTGTACAAAGTGTCACTGTAGCTAATGCTAATGGTTAACCTTCTGGAATTAATTTGTATTTTTCTATGGTTTTTACCTGACACTGTCTCTGGTCACGGGGTTGTTTTGCTGTGCGCTTTTTTTTTTTTTTTTTGCTTTGCTTTGTTTTGCTTGGTTTCGTTCAGTCAGTCTGTAGGCTTTGCACTTGTTTGGATTAAAAAAAAACAGATCAGAAGTAACGGCTCTCCCTGCAAGGTCGTGTCTAGACTTTGTGGGGACCTTTCAAAATACTGCAAACGACATCCAGCACTGTTCACGAAAAGGTCTAAATAAAACCCGTCTCCCACCAAGTGCGTTAGGATCTGGCTCAGATTCAGACCGTCCATTTCCACGTGTCGTGAAGCCCATCCTTTTCCTCCTGGATAGTTTGTCTTTTCAGATGACATTTGGTAAAAAACATGAAAAGACCAAGCGTTGACTGCACCTCCAGGCCCATCACGTGTGCTCGGGTGAAGAGAACCCTGGAGGAAAGCGGGGGCCCGCGCCAGCATTGCTCCCCCCGCCCCGGGGGGTGGCCGTGTCCCCCCCAATGCCTGCACGCAAGCAGCCTCGGCGACATTCCAGCCCGGCCTCATGAGGCGTCCTCTGCTCAGAGGCACGGCGGCTTCCGTGTGTATTTCACTCGTTGTATATAGAGACAGGACTGCGGTCAGCCATCGCCGCTGCCCCCCGCCCTCCGCCAAGTCCTCATCGTGTTTCGCCTGCATGCCCACAGCCTGGCCAAGCTGCTGTCTCTACGAGTGCTAGTTGGAAATGCACCGAAGACCGTCATCGCCTCAGGAGCTTGTTGACAGCCTGAACGTCCATTCCGATGTCTCCGGGTCCCGCTCCCGCTGGGGAGCGGGGTGTCCCTGACATCATCGTCTGCAGAGAAGACAGGTCCGTGTCGCTATCTGGTGTTTGGGGGGTTTGCGTTTCATCTCCACAAGCTTTGAATGTCAGTTGCACTTGGTTCGACAGGAAGACCTCTGTCACGGGATTTCTTTTTTCAGGTGATGCATCAGCATTTGGGAAAAGGAAGAAGGTGCCGCCCGCAGGACTGCTCCGAGTGTTACCTGGCCATGCTTTTTGTCTTGTCAGCCAGCTCAGTCTGAAAGGGGAGGCAGGCTCTGGCCACGAGGTCTGGAAGGAGGGAGTGAGGTGTGGCATGGTAGTGTTTGTTCATCCATGGAATAAAACATTATTTTACCACTCGAGAGCTCTTTTCTTGCTTAGCCTCCACCCCGCTTCACCTCAGAAAGTGAGCTGACCTTTAAGGAGTCTTCGCGGACCTCACTGGGCCCTGACCAGGTCTGATTTGTCCTCGAGGATCTGTGTGCGGCTCCTAAAACCTGCATCCACAGTAGCAGTGGCACTGATGGTAGAACGGGTGGGACTGGTTAAGTCCATCAAAGTCCCAGATCACCCAGGGAAGTGAATGTGAGTTTCACGTCTGAAGTTTCAAGGGGAAGATGTAGAGGTACTCCCCAGCGCTAGGAGTAAAACTGGCTCTCCTTTGAGGCCACTGCATTGCTCTCTAGAAGGCGTCAGAAAACCTGCGTCTGCTAGAAATTCATTCGCTTTGTTGTTGTTTTTAAGTCAGTAAGTCTGATGTAGCACAGCCCGGAAGCACTGAGCTTGATTAAATAAACCGTCCAAACCGTCGAGCAGTCGCTGCCTGGGTAACCGGCCGCCCATCTGGTCACCCCCGCTGGATGCCAGCACCCCTGCTGATGAAGAGGCGAGACGCAGCTGGGCACACCCCAGCCGGGCGTGCTCACCCTGGAGCCCACGGTCACACTTGCCGCCCCAACCTCTGCCCCCTTCCCAGGAAGGACACTGCCTCCCTGTCGGGTGGGACTTGATGCTTTTGCACAAGATCGCATGTTCCCCACTTTTGGAAACACGGGGTGTAGGGTGGGAATACGGGCCCTGAAAGCAGACACTGGCCTTGACCGCTGGGTGGGACCACCCCGGTTCCACTAGGATGCCCTTGTCCCCCCACCGAGGATGGAGGAGAAGGCCTCGGGGGGCTGGGCCCAGCACCTGCCCTGTGTGCTTCAGGTGGCGTGTGTGACGCACCTGAGCGTGGCTGCTTATTTCAGGTTTAAATTAGCTTTAAAATGTTGGGATGAGACCACACAGCTGTGGCGCTCCAGAGCCCAGCGCAGGGAGCACTGACCCCGGCGCGTGTCTCCTCCACAGCGTCTCCTGGGGCGAGGCTGCCGCGCTCACAGAGGTGCCCTGAAGGTGGGCAGGGGGCCTGTGTACCCCTGGCCTGGAAGCAAGCCCCTTCCTCTCTTGCCTGACCCAGCAGTCCCAGAAAAATGATGTCACGGAGAATCGGTCCCCTCCCAAAGCCGGTAGGAACCTCAGGGTCCCAGGAGAGTCTGGAGGGGCATCTCGGAGGCCCTGGCTCTCCTCCAGCAGCACGTGGCTGTGCACTCTTGGGCCAGTCACGGAGGAAAGAGCAGGAAGCCTGTTAGCGCCCGGTGTGGATGCTAAGAATGTCCAGACCGTGTATACAGGCCGAATTCTGCCCCCACTTCCAGCTTAGGACCGGCTGGGGCGAGCGTGACACATTCCCCTCGGCGGTCACATGGGAGCCCCACCGGCAGCCCTGCCCCAGCCCCCGCCACGGCACCCCTAAGCACCCCCACGACGGAGCTGTCCTGCGCCCCCCCGCCTCCGGCGTCCACCGAGCACACGTGAGTGCAGCTGACCCCAGCTCCAGGAGCCCTGAGGAAGCCGCCTCCGCTGGCTCTGATGCGGGTGGGCATCAGTCCGCTGGCGACTTGGACAACAGGAGTCAAGTCCTCAGAGCCCTGGAGGCTGGAAGCTGACAGTCAGGGTGCTGTTAGGTTCCCGGGGAGAACCCTCTTCCTGGTTCATTGATGAATCCTCTGGCTATGTCTGCACCCAAGAGAGACAGGGAGAGCTTGGGCCTTTCCTCATCTTATAAAGCCCCTAATTCCATCATCCCTGGAGGAGGGCATGGCAACCCACTCCAGTATTCTTGCCTGAAGAACCCCCATGGACAGAGGAGCCTGGAGGGCTACAGTCCCTGGGCTTGCAAGAGTCAGACACGACATAGCGACTAAACCACCACCACCAGTCCCATCATGGGGCCTCATCTGTACCCAGCCACGTCCCAAAGTTGCGTCTCCAAGAACCATCATGTTAGCATTAGCACTTCAACAGGTGAACATGGGGCGGGAGGGAGACACACACGTTCTGTCCAAAGCCCGAGGTTCTCATCTTCACCTGGCATCCCTGAAAGGGTTCAGGAGAGCTGCTGAGCAGAAGCAGGGGCCCTGGGGCTGGAGGAGGAGCCAGCCTTGGGGACACAGCCTCCCAGGGGGAGCTTCTCAGAGGGTCAGGATGGGTGGGGCCACCGGGCGCTGGCCCTGAGACGCCTGGGCCCCCTTCTGCAAACCACAGGCTCAAAGAAGCCAACCACCCTGAATCCCGTCACTCACTACATAGATAGGGGATCAGAAGACCAGAGAAGGCAAGGGAGCTGCCCAAAGTCACGCAGCAAGGCAGCCGCAGCCCTAAGGCAGCGCATTCGTGGTTTCCTTCTTGAGGAGTGACGCCCAGGCCCCCCTCCAGGGTCTAGCACAATTCTCTGGGTGTGTGTGGTGGGGGCGGGGGCAAGCCCAGCCCAGGGCCAGGTTTCCTGGAAGTGGGTGTCGTCGTCTTGGTTCTGAGCAAATGACCAATCCGTGGATGCCTCCGGTCCCCTTCTGTTCAGCCCTCTTTCCTGGGATCTCAGTGGCTCAGCCTAGGAGGTGGTAGACGCTGTATCTGTGTCCTGGGCCAGGGTCTGAAGCCCCTGAGGGCTTGGGGATGACGTTTGGAAGCAGAGCGCCCTGAGCGGGTCACACATCAGCCTCCATCACGGCTCTCCATAACGTAGACCCCCTAGCCCCAGGATGATACACAGTGTGGACACGCAGACACACACGTGTTTGGTAAGCAGCGCATTGAAGGATGCGGCCCCAAACAACCTAAGCAGGTCCCCAAGGCGTCGGCTTTGGCCCCAATATCCAGCATACTGGAAGACCAGCTGTGACCACAGGAACAGCCCCCGGGAGCCAGCGCCGCGGGCCGGACTCACTGGACAAGTCTCTGGCCGCTGGAAGCTGCCATGGGGCCGCCAGCACCCACAACACCCTCAAGAGGCCCTGTCTGCCTTCTTCCTCCTCTCTGGCCCCTGGAGCTCAAGCAGACCCTTGGGGCACGAGGCTGGCGCTTCATGCTGGGAGAGGCAGAGACACGAACATGCCTGGGGTCCGGGAGTGGGGCTGCACCCCAGCCCCAGCACCCCCCACCCCGGCCCGGTCCTGCTCTCCGTGGGCTTCTCACATCCCACAGGAAGAGCTGGTGGGGGCGTTGCTCCAGGAGGCGGGACCCCCACTTGGCCTCTTGCCCAGGGACTCCCAACCCACAAGGGGAATCCGCTGCGGTTTGCGTGGATGGGAGTTCTATTGAGCTCCTAGGGAGCCTCCTGACAGTCAAAGGCCGTAAGTGGTGGGTGGGTCACAGCCCCTGGGTCCCCACTGCTGGCGCTCCTACAAAACTCTTCAGGCCTCATCAACATCACAACACAAGGCCCTGAGCGCTTTGGCGCAAACCCAGAAGGTCCATCTTCAATGATTCAAGCACCAGGCTTGGGGACCGGGAGGCAGCTTCTGAGCTGGCATGAAGCGTCAGTTACAGAGGAGTTTCAGGGCTGAGCTCCTCCGCTTGGAGAAGTAAACAGCCTCTCTCTGCCCTGTTTACCCTCCCCTAGAGTGGCCCTGCTTCATCCACAGCCAGGCTGGAACAGGGGCAGGCGGGTGCAGGGGAGTGGGCGGGCTCTGTGAGCGGCCTTTCTGGGCTGGGGTCAGCTTGCCTCCCCTGTGCCCTGGCGGCGGGACCAGAAGTTTGACTGGTCTTCCTGCGCTCGGGGTCCATCATTCGTCAAGATGAGCCTGGCAGGGGTGCTAGCTGTCCAGGGCTGCCCTAACAAAGTGCCCCAAACCGGGCAGATTTAGTGGCAAAAATATACGCTCTCGGGACTCTAGAGGTCAAAGTCTGGGATGCAGGTGTTGCAGGAAGGGGGACCCCTTCTAGGGTCTGAAACTGGGCTCTTGTCTAACCCTCGGAAATGAATTGCCCGAGGAGACACATGTCTGACAAAGCCAGAGGTTTTATTGGGAAGGGGCACCCGGCTGGAGAGTGGGAGGGCCAGGGAACCTAGGAGAACTGCTCTGCCACGTGGCTTGCCGTCTCGGGTTTTTGGTGATGGGATTAGTTTCCGGGGTGTCTTAGCCAATCCTTCTGACTCAGAGTCCTTCCTGGTGGTGCTGCCCTGTTCAGCCAAGATGGAGGCCAGAGAGGATTCTGGGAGGTGTCGGACATGTGGTGTCTCCTTTTGACCTTTCCCGCACTCTTCCTGTGGGGGGTGGCTTATTAGTTCCGTGTTCCTTTCCAGGACCTCTCTTCATAAAACAACTCATGCAAGTGGTCACTATGGTGCCTGGCCAGGGTGGGCGGTTTCAGTCGGTGTGCTTCCCCTAACAGAGGTGTTGGGGCGGGGGAGTGGGGGCCGGGCCCCCTCCCAGCTTCTGGGGGTCCCTCCGTTGGGCAGGAAGACCTCCAACCCTCGGAGGGCCTCACCCGGCCTGTCTGTCTGCGTCCATGTTTCCCCGTTCCGTGCGGACACCTCCCCCTTGGTCAGGAGCCACCCTGACGGCCACATCCGCACTTGGTCGTCTGTGATGTTGGAGCAAAGACCTCTGGAGAAGGTCCATTCGGAGGCCCTGCGGGTGAGATCGAGTGGGGTGGTGGCGGGGGCAGTGACGCAACAGCCCCTAAGGCGGGCTTTCCTACCAAGGGACAGCTTGTGTGTTGGGGGGAAGGGGAGGCCGGGCCCGAGGGGGCGGCAGGCCCGGGGGGTCCATGAACCGCCCGTCCTCCCACCCCGACCTCTGCAGGGAGAGGCCGCTCCAGCATCCAGGCGGCCCCTGGAGGGATCTCTGCGCTCTGGGAAGGGGCGGCCACAACCCCCCGGACCCTGCAGGGCTCCCCACTTCCTCCGGGCTCCCGTCTGGATTCTCCCAGCGTGCACCTCGGTGGAGCCAGGAAGCATCCACAGCCCTGCCGGCGGCTCACGGTTCAGGGAAAGACTGTGGGGCCCGTGGCCACAACCACAGTGGGGAGGCCCGCAGGAGCAGGGCTGAGGGGCCTGCCCCCCACCCCCAGGCACGTGCTCCTGGGTCTGCCAGGGCTTCCCACGGGCAACTGAAGGCCTTTCCTTTAACTCTAGAAAATCCCCAAAGCAGCTTACTGACCCTCGGGAGGTGTAGTCCTCCCCCTCCTCCAGTTTTGCCTAGACACTTCCCACCAGGGCCTCAGGCTTCCTGAGCGCGGACCACCCACCCACCTTCCTGGCCCCGGCCGGAAACCTCTGTCTGCTCCAGATTCTGTTCGGCCTCCCTGGACGGCAGACATGGCCTGGGAACCCAGGTCCCACAGCACTTGGTCCTGAGGGAGCCATGTTTGCCCCTGGCATCGTGGTTTCTACCAGAATCCCCCGCCAGGCACAGATTTCCTAGGCAGACGCCAGGGAGAGGGGCGGGCTCGCTGCCCGTGGGGACACCCCATCCCACCTCCCAGGATAGAGTGGACAGAGACCTTTCTGACAGTCAGCGAGCGGTGGGGCATGAACCCACCCAGCAAGGAGGGCTGGCCCCCGACCAGCGTCCAGTCCCCTGGCCTCCCCGAGAGGCCGTGAGGACAGACGGGCCAGGTGCAGCCTGCCGGCCGAAGGCTCCGCGGTCAGAGGGCCACCCTCCCCTGCCTGCCGGCTGCTGCATGTCCCAGGCAGGTGTCCTGGCCTCTCTGGGCCCCCGTCCCCCCTCAGGAGGCAGAGGCCAGCTCCGAGGGGACGAGGACATGGGCAGCATGTGAGCCAGGATGCCTGGGATCCTTGTCTCACCCAAAGAGCCGGAAGGATGCCTGACAGTTTGCATTTCGAGTTTCTTAAACTGCAACCCGAAGAACCTCTGGGAAACAGGTTTCCAGGTGCAGGAGGTGGGCGGGCTCCAGCCTGTGGGGGAGTGCTGGGTGGGCTGAGGATCCCCAGGGCGGGGGTTGGGGCTCTGCGGGGGACAGAGGGCCAGGGACACAGTGGGGCTGCCCCGGGACTTCCAGACGCCAGGCCGGGCAAGCGGTGGGCAGAGCCTGTGCCCCGGGGGAGGGCCCCCACCAGGCCTGAGCCAGAGCCCGCTGCCCCCATCCAGAGCTGACACTGCGGCCTGGAGCCCACAGGGCCGGGGCGGGAAAGGCCTCCCTCGGGGACCCCCGGCGGACCCCGGTTGTCCACGTCAGGTCCCTGTCACAGGCCTGCAGGGGCGAGGAAGCAGCCAAGGACTCAGGAGAGCGCGAGGCCCCAATAGGGCAGCATTGCCCCCTGCCCCAGGGTAGCTTGCCTGTAGTCGGTGTCCAGACGGGCCGGGGGGCGCCCAGGGTCCCGGAGAACCCCGGGGACCAGCGGCAGGCCCGGGCCTCATGTGCGGGGGATGCTCAGGCTCCCCAAGGCCGCAGCACGGCCACCCCCGGGACCCTGCGGCTCAGACACCCGACTCTGAAACCCCCTTCCCCCGCCCGCTCCCCTCAGGGCAGTGGGGAACCGTGTGTCCTGCAGGCAGCTCGGGGCCTCCACAGGAAGGCGTTTGCCTTTGGGTGGCTCTTTCCTAGGAACTGGGGGGTCAGCTGTGCTGGGTTGGTGCTGAGCTGGTTGCGGCCGGATGGGACCAGGGCCCTTCCAGCTGGGCCTGCACGAGTGCCCGTGGCCTTCGGCGCGTGGGGTGGCCTGAGGCCCCTTGAGCCTGCGCAGAAGGACCAGTCCGCACCTTTTCCCAATCACCTTTCCCCGCACTCCCCGCGTGCCCGGCTTCCTAATTCCTTATCCTGTAAATACCCCAGCCCCAGGCCTTCTGGGAGGCAGACTTGATTTGTTCCCCGAGCCCTGCTCAGCCGCCTTGTGAGCAGGCCCTGGTGTCTCTGCGTTTGGCCGAGCGTCCGCCAGGAGGAACCGGCCGGGGACAGCTGCACAGCCTCCCCTGGGACCCGGTGCTCAGAACCAACGGCTCCTGCAGTCTCCCCAGGCTTGCCGTTTTGGAGACACCAGGTAAGGTCGGCTTCAGCTTCGGGCAGACCTGCGTTGTTTGGGCCTCTCGGCAAGTGCCACCTGCATCCCCAGGCCTTGGGGGCGCCCAGGGGGGCCCTGCAGCCCTTCCTGAGGGCTGTGTCCTCCCCCAGGCTGCGCCGCTGCCCTGGGCTGGTCTTGGCACGCGTGGTTCCTGCCGTGTGTCTGGTTCTTTGTGGACAGGCCGTGTTCTTACAGGCGCCTCTTCTCAGGGAGACTGAGCAGGGGACTGCTGCCGTTTGGTCGAGTGAGTCGTGTCGGACTCTCTGCGACCATGTGGACTGCAGCCCGCCAGGCTCCTCCGTCCATGGGGTTCTCCAGGCAAGAATACTGGAGTGGGTTCCATTTCCTTCTCCAGGGGATCTCCCCCACCCAGGGGTGGAACCCACGTCTCCAGCGTCTCCTGGATTAGCAGGCGGATTCTTTACCACTGTGCCGCCTGGGATGCCAGAGCAGTTGACTGGTGTGTGAGCTTGTCAGTCTGTGCTGAGAATCGCTGGTCTAATTGTTTTAGGTGGGAAATTACATATGACGGTTGTCATCACCACCACCTGGTATCATTAGACAATAAAATGAAGATGACCCAAGCCTTGGATTGTGGGCAGGAATATTTATCTTTCTTAGGATAGCGTCCTTTTCTAAGGAAAGTTATCTATAGAGGATAGTTTGTTGTTTAGTTGCTAAGTCATGTCTGACTCCTTGAAACGCTATGGACTGTAGCCCACCAGGCTCCTCTGTCCATGGGATTTCCCAGGCAAGAATACCGGAGTGAGTTGCTTTGTTCTTTTTTTTCAAGATGGTTTTGGCAGTTCTGGGTCTTTATGTTTCTACATAAGTTTTAGGATTATTCTAGCTGTGAAAAATGTCATGCGTAATTTGCTATAGATTGCATTAAATCTATAAGTTGCTTTGAGTAGTGTGGCTATTTTAACAACATTCGCTATTTCAATCCAAGAGCACGGGATGTCTTTCCACTTTCTTTCAGCCATCTTAAGTTTCCTTTATTAATGTTTTTTAGTCCTTTTATTGTTTTAAACCTTTTAGATTGGGATATAGCTGATTAACAATGCTGGTGATAGTGTGAGGTGAACAACAGAGGGATCTTTTATTATTTTATATTAATTCTCAGTGTATAATTCTTTCACTTCCTTGATCAGGTTTATTCCTAAGTATTTTGGGTGGGGATGCAATTTTAAAATGGAGTTTGTTTCTTCTTAAACATCCCCCTTTTGATATTTCATTTTTAATGTAAGAAATGCAACCATTTCTGTATGTTAATCTTGTATCCTGCTACCTTACTGAATTCATTTCTCACTTCTACTAGTTTTTGTGTGGAGTCTTCAGGGTTTTCTATATATAGTTATAGTATCATGTCCTCTGCATATCATGACAGTTTTACCACTTCCCTCCAATTTAAATACCATTATTTCTTGTCTTTTTATTGTGGCTAGGACTTGCAATACTATGTTGAATAGAAGTGATGAGTTCTATCTTTGTTACAGATTTTAGGGGGAAGACTTTCAGCTCTTCACTGTTGAGTATTTGTAATCCACTGCCACAGATAGTTTTTTATTATGTTGAGATACAGTAAGTTTTTTCAAAATCATGAATAGATGCTGAATTTTTGCAGAGGCATTTTTTTAATCTACTGAGAGGATCTTGTGATCTTGGTTTTTGTCTTTGCTTTTGTTGATGTGGTGTATGACATTTTTGCACATGTTGAACCATCCTTGTAGTCCTGGGACTTATCCGACTTGGTCATTGTGTATGATCCTTTTTATGTCTTGCTGGATTTGGTTTGCTAATTTGTTGAGAATTTTTGCATCTATATTCGTCAAAGATGAATCAAACAACAACAACATATTCATCAAAGATATTGGCCTATGATTTTCTTTGTAGTGTCTTTGATTTTGGTATCAGGGAGATGGTGGCTTCACAGAGTGTCTTTAGGAGTGTTCCCTCCACTTCAGTCTTTTGGAAGAGTTTGAGTAGAATTGGTATAAGTTCTTTTTATGTCTGGTAGAATTCCCATGTGAAGCCATCAGGTCCTGCACTTTGGTTTGTACACAGTCTTTTGTTTTTTAATTTGCAGATTCTGTTTCACTTCTGAGCTTCTCAGGTGGTTCAGTGGTAAAGAATCTGCCTGCCAATGCAAAAGAGACAAGAGACGTGGGTATGATCCCTATGTCAGGGCCCTGGAGTAGGAAATGGCATCCCACTCCAATATTCTTGCTTGGGAAATCCCATGAACAGAGGAGCCTGGTGGGCTGCAGCCCCTGGGGTTGCAGAGAGTCGGACACGACTGAGCGACTGAACACACACTTCATTTGTCAGGTCAGCTCAGTCGCTCAGTCGTGTCCAACTCTCTGCAACCCCAGGGACTGCAGCCCACCAGGCCTCCCTGTCCATCACCTACTCCCAGAGCTTGCTCAAACTCATGTCCACTGAGTCGGTGATGCCATCCCACCATCTCATCCTCTGTCATCCCCTTCTCCTCTTGCCTTCAATCTTTCCCAGCATCAGGGTCTTTTCTAATGAGTCGGCTGTTCACATCAGGTGGCCAAAGTGTTGGAGTTTCAGCTTCAGCATCATTCCTTCCAGTGAACACCCAGGACTGATCTCCTTTAGGATGGACTGGTTGGATCTCCTTGCAGTCCAAGGGACTCTCAAGAGTCTTCTCCAAACCATAGTTCAAAAGTATCAATTCTTCTGTGCTTAGCTTTATGTTCCAACTCTTACATCCATACATGACTACTGGGAAAACTATTGCTTTGACCAGATGGACCTTTGTTGGCCAAGTAATGTCTCTGCTTTTTAACATGCCATCTAGGTTTGTCGTAGCTTTTCTTCCAAGGAGCAAGCGTCTTTTAATTTCATGGCTACAGTCACCATCCGCAATGATTTTGGAGCCCCAAAAAATAAAGTCTCTCACTGTTTCCATTGTTTCCCCATCTATTTGCCATGAAGTGATGGGACCAGATGCCATGATCTTAGTTTTTTTAATGTTGAGCTTTAAGCCAGCTTTCTCACTCTCCTCTTTCACTTTCATCAAGAGGCTTTTTAGTTCCTCTTCACTTTCTGTCATAAGAGTGGTGTCATCTGCATATCTGAGGTTATTGATATTTCTCACTGCAATCTTGATTCTAGCTTGTGCTAGACATTTTGCATGATGTACTCTGCATGTAAGTTAAATAAACACGGTGACAACATACAGCCTTGACATACTCCTTTCCCAATTTGTAACCAGTCTGTTGTTCCATGTCCAGTTCTAACTGTTACTTCTTGACCTCCATACAGATTTCTCAGGAGGCAGGTAAGGTGGTCTGGTATTCCCATTTCTTTCAGAATTTTCCAGTTTATTGTGATCCACAGGCTTGGCATAGTCAATAAAGCAAAGGTAGATGTTTCCTGGAACTCTCTTGCTTTTCCGACGATCCAGTGGATGTTGGCAATTTGATCTCTGGTTCCTCTGCCTTTTCTAAATCCAGCCTGAACATCTGGAAGTTCTTGGTTCACATACTGTTGAAGCCTGGCTTGAAGAATTTTGAGCATTACTTTGCTAGCATGTGAGATGAGTGCAATTGTGCAGTAGTTTGAACATTCTTTGGCATTGCTTTTCTTTGAGGTTGGAATGAAAACTGATTTTTCCAGTCCTGTGTCCACTGCGGAGTTTTCCAAATTTGCTGGCATATTGAGTGCAGCACTTTCCCAGCATCATCTTTTAGGATTTGAAATAGCTCAGCTGGAATTCCATCACCTACACTAGCTTTGCTCTTAGTGATGCTTCCCAAGGCCCACTTGACTTCGAATTCCAGGATGTCTGACTCTAGGTGAGTGATCACACCATCGTAATTATCTGGGTCATTGAGATCTCTCGTACAGTTCCTCTGTGTATTTTTGCCACCTCTTCTTAATATCTTCTGCTTCTGTTAGGTCCATACCATTTCTGTCCTTTATTGAACCCATCTTTGCATGAAATGTTCCCTTGTTATGTCTAACTTTCTTGTCTTTCTGGTCTTTCCCATTCTGTTGTTTTCCTCTATTTCTTTGCACTGATCACTGAGGGAAGGCTTTATCTCTCCTTGCTGTTCTCCGGAACTCTGCACTCAGATGAGTATATCTTTCATTTTCTCCTTTGCCTTTCACTTCTCTCGTTTTCTCAGCTATTTGAAAGCCCTCCTCAGACAAGCATTTTGCCTTTTTGCATTTCTTTTTCTTGGGGATGGTTTTGCTCACTGCCTCCTGTACAATGTCACGAACCTCCATCCATAGTTCTTCAGGCACTCTGTCAGATTTGATTCCTTGAATCTATTTACCACTTCCACTATATAATCGTAAAGGATTTGACTTAGGTCATACCTGAATGGTCTAGTGGTTTTCCCTACTTTCTTCAATTTAAGTCTGAATTTGGCGATAAGGAGTTCATGATCTGAGCCACAGTCAGCTCCCGGTCTTGTTTTTGCTGACTATATAGAGCTTCTCCATTTTTGGCTGCAAAGAATATAATCAATCTGATTTTGGTGTTGACCATCTGGTGACGTCCATGTGTAGAATCTTCTCTTGTGTTGTTGGAAGAGGGTGTTTGCTATGACAAGTGCTGCTGCTGCTGCTAAGTCGCTTCGGTCGTGTCTGACTCTGTGTGACCCCAGAGACGGCAGCCCACCAGGTTCTGCCGTCCTTGGGATTCTCCAGGCAAGAACACTGGAGTGGGTTGCCATTTCCTTCTTCAATGCATGAAAGTGAAGTCGCTCAGTCATGTCCGACTCTTCGTGACCCCATGGACTACAGCCTACCAGGCTCCTCCA